TTTGAGCTGTTTAAATTTGAGGACCGAAAACGCCACTTCTATGTGTTGCGATCACTGTGATCGCCAGATCCGAGTTAGTTTATGTCACTTTAGATATAGGAACAGACCCCAAATTGCTTGTAAAAAGATGAAAATTCTTTTCTTAAACCAGACTGCTTCATTTTAATAGTAATAAAATTGTTTCCTTCAATTTTTGCCGTTATTATTTTATGCGTATGTAAATGACACTCTCAGAAAAGCCCATTTCATATTCCATCTTTTTTATTATTAGTTTAAGTCGTTTCCATGAAGCGATTGAATGACCATAAAAATGAAAATTTATTTAGTAAAGTATGCCAAGAGCTTTTGATTGTCTTAGACAAAGGCTTTTCAATGAGGAGAAAATTTCAAAACCAGTTTCGTGCGACTTCAAGACTATTTATTGAGAAGCAATAAAATTACGAAAAGCAACTCTATCTTTAACGTTAAAATATGACCTTTTGTTAATTAGGGTGTAGTTGAAGGGAGAATGGTAATTTTATTCATTTAGGAATTTAAACATTGCGCATAGTAATGCGCAATTACAGAATATATTTTGGCTTCCAATTTCTTTCCTGACACCTTTATTTAGTTTGAAGAATATTCATTGAGGAGGGTTATTGTGATGTCGCACCAACTGTACTCGTCACATAATTTATAGGATAAAAGTAGTATTAAATGCATTCATTCAAGAAACAGAGAAAGGAGCCTGAACGAATAACATACTGCCCCTACAGATGTGCCACGCGCCCCAGCCGATCTTCAGTGTTTAGAGCGCGGTCCAACATATGCGAGTTTGCGCTGGTTTTCTAGCCGATCAGGTGACGGGACTCAGCCCGACTCCTCGCGTAGTCTTCACGTGCCCATCACTTCGTACACCCTTATCGTCACGGACCTTGACGCAGATAACAGACGTCAGGCAATGAAGCGCAAGTTGACAGACATCTCACCGTGGAAAGTTCAGCCTGATGGCTCGGTTCATCTTAAGGTCACTGATCTCAAACCAGACCATCGTTACACCGCAGAGGTCTATGCTCTGAGTACTAAATTCGGCATTTCAGATGCGAGCAACAAAATCACGTTCAAAACACTGGAAATGCGTAGGTTCTATTTAAAGATTACAAGCAGTGAAATTTTCATTTGTTGTTGGACTATTATTGGGCTTTTAAGTAGGTTTACAAGCAAACATCATGGTTTTCTGATTCGTCTAATTTATGCTTTACTTAATTTTTGCTTAAAATTAATGACAATTATTAAAGTGCCAGTACTTCTGACCAAATGCAGAATCAATCTGAAAAAAATTTAGCCTTTTATTGCAGGCCCTTACTTATTTCCATTTTAGTTGTTTTATGAAAAATTAGCTGATTTAGAAATTAGTAAAATGTTTTGTTTTGTGTTGATTTGAATAGAGGCTAAGTGATGCATAGCTGTTGCCATCTTCTAAGTTAGGAGCAAGTAAGTGATTGTGATTCCAATCCTTTATTGGATGCTAAAAAATGCCTAACCTCTACTTATAAATCACTGAAAGGGCCATTGTAATCATGGCTTAATAATTAAGTAAGGGTATTAAAATTTAGCACCAAGTGGACCTCCCTTATCCATATACGCAACCGCAACATCTTCTGATTCCATCAGTATCAGCTGGAAACCGCCTGCCGAAGCAAATGGGAAACTCCTTGTATGGATTTTTTATTATAACCTTTAAATCTTTAAATGTTAATAAAGCATTATTTAGGAATGCAGGCTAGAATAAAGTTAAATCCCCTAATCTATCAACCTACCAACTGGTTTAAAATATTAGTTAGGAAAATATTAAAGTCTCGTTTTTCGGGTTCTTTTAATGCTTTGCTATATCGCCTTTAATCCAAATAATAATAGGAATGAATCAAGTGCAAAATCCCCATATAAATATTTCTTATTTATAACCTCTCAATTTTAATTAGTTAAAAATGGATAAATGGCAAACATTACAAGCGTATTTATTGTTAGATAGGGTTTTTTGACTAATTTTAACAATAGGTTTTTTAGAGCCCTGAAGTTAAGAACACATTAACTGATATACTTAGTAGCTACTTATTAAGGATAGCATTGATTATAAAATACATTAACAGTTTTATTCTTGATTCTGCGTTAATAGTGACCTTAATCTCCCTTCTCGAGTTTTGTCAGAATAATTTATTCATTAACTCCGTATTATTGACGTGGGCTGATTTGCCCCTGGACAGAAGATGTTTTCCTGCATTGCATATTGCCTTTTTTCTGGCATTTCGATACAAAGGATTCAAGGCAAAATTTATGGCAAGAGTATATAGCAATCGTTTACATAGATTAATATCCTTGCTTCATTCAACAGGTAACAATGTGAGATTGTTGTTTTTATATGAGCAGAACTCAGTTGACAACAATCACTGAAAAATACAGATAAGGGGCAATATAGCACATCCTTTGCTGTAGTTACTGGTAGCTGAAAAACTAGCTTTTGAAAACCTCTTGGGACATATACTTAGCTTAATTACCATTATTTAGACATAATCGCACTTTATACGAAGAGTACAGAACGGGCTTTCTGCAGTACAGACAAAAATATTGGAGCACACGGCTGTGGACAGTGACTGATAAAATCAAGTGTGCATGACGCATATCCAGATTTTATGAGTGGAACTAGATACAATCTAGGTTTGTGATGTATGACAGGCGTTCTGAATAACAGAAAGGTGACGGCTGCAATTTCACTGAATAAAAGCCATTTATTACGCTGCTTGAATTTATAGCAGATAAAAATAGTGTCAGTTAATTTGTATTGCGCGAGTGCCCTGTATTAAAATGCAAAAAAACTGTGTTACTTACGTACTAACAATTTCTAAACTCGCTGAAAAACTGGATGTTTATCTTAAAAATACTGCCTTTTTTCTTAGAATTTTGGGAAAGAATTTTGTTTCGCATGCGCAAGTAAAAGAAGTAACTATATCAATCGAAATCAAGTTAATCAACTACAAAAACTTCTGCTCAGACGAAACTGGTGGTTGTGTTTGACACTCTACTCATGAAAAAAAGCCAACTTGGAATATAGCACGTAATAAAGGGTGATTTTTGCAAGACTAACACTAGACAAAATGCATGTTTGGCAGTTTAAACTTCACTTATTTGGCTTGCCTACATGCATGCAGTGTTATAAACAATAGAAATGGGCGTTCTCATGGCAATACTGTTTTCAGAATTTTCCAGCCTATATTTATGCGCATTGTAGGTGTATGAGCTGTAATTAAGGTAACATTTCTTACCTGTGGGCGTATTCAAACTAAAAAACAAAATTTTTCATATTTACCATCTCAACAATAAAAGTTACACTAAATAGTCATATGTTAAAAAATTATGTTGTCAAACAATTCCTCATTTTATCGGTTTAAAATGGGTATTTTGCGCCTAATTATGGGCGATTAGTCAAACTACATCGTTTCAAAGCAACAGCTTTTCATAAATTGAAGTTTTTTGACAATGCTAACACGCTAATCGACAGAAATATAAATAAAAGAAAAGCTTAGTTTAGAATAATTTTATTGCCCCTCTCATTCACACATTCTTGCTCAATTCGTTTAGGAATTTGGATAAAATTAAAAGTCATTATAAATAATGCCTTAAATATTACATTGGCAGATAGGGGGGTATCCTATGTAGATTCCACTTTATGACTCCAACACATTGGCAACGGGCTGTGTAACAATCTGCTTTACTGATGAGACACCACATCTAGTACACATTTATTTCAAGAATTTCTTTGAAGTATTGTGCGCGACAAGATAGTTTACACCTAGAGTTAAATATTTAATGCAGAGCCTTGGAAAACTTTACTGTATTAAAGGGAAATAAGATTGGACATACAACAGGATGCATAGGCTAAAATGCTATTAAATTATCTCCTGTCAGGGATATAGAGTGTACTATTCTACGCAACTTCGAAATAAATTGGATCAATGGCAGACGCTTCAGACAACCAAGCCTCATGCCGTTCTGCAAGGACTCGAAGAAAGGGCAACTTACTATCTCAAAGTGAATGCTTTCAATTCAGCTGGAGATGGTCCACTGAGCGAAGCCTTTCCAGTCATCGTTAACCCTGGAGGTGCGTATTATAATTTGGAAATGACATTACTAACTTACAAATCAGAGTTAAAATGGGACAAACCGATTATTCTGTGACATTTGGTGCAACTTTTGTCCTTTTATAGGGTATGTTGAGCTACCAGATGTGTAATTATTTTTGAGAAGTTTGACAACTCTTACCGAAACATTCGGAAAAAGCCATATTTGTTTTCCTTTATCTTTTGTTCTCTACACTTCACTTAAATTCAGTTGAGTACACAAATCGACATTGTTAAAAGTGAAAATTGTATAAGGAACTTTATTCCTCGAAGATCGCTTAAACTAAACTTTTAATTCACTAAAAAGGTTTGTGTTGCCAATAGGATGCTAAAGGAGTAAAAATGAGCAAACATGAAAAATACATAGTGACTATCAATTATGCACACAATAGCGATTTTGAAGTGCACTATTTCGGCCAAATACAAATTTTGCTTAAAATCGCAGCAAAGGATTGGTCATTTGCACCTATTGAAATTTGACATCACGTTAGTAGGCATCGCTGATATCACGTGCTAGCTATTCTAAACGTCAGTTTGCCTAATGATCTAAATATTATTTTCAAAGAAAAGCATTAAACAGTATATTGTAGCCGATATTTTGAAACTAGAGGCTAATATTTGCCTTAACCTTTCCAAAAAAATGCTATTTAAATGTAAAACTATCAGTGTTTGGCAGAGTCGTAGTATAGTAGTTAAAATATACCAAACGAAAAGCAGGAATACAACTAATCTATACCTCTGTCCTTTAAAAGATGTAAAATTGCCTCACACTAAAAGAGTAAATTACATTGCACAATAAATACAGAAAAATTGCCTATAAAGGTAGGTTTTAATAAATTGGAACCTCCTTTTTACACTTGAACTTAGGGGAAAATTCCTAGAATATTGGAAGACTTAAATATACAAATCTGTACATCACCAACGGAGCAATACAAGCTAATGAACATACCTGTTTTCTATATGTTGTGAACAAATAGATTCGCTGGTAGTAAACAATATTTTATTTAAGCTATTTGGCTCTCAAATAGCCAATGGTGTAATTAATTTTTAAGTGGAATACAACTGTCTAGGTGATTCGATAAAATACTGCATCCACCAATAACAGTCATATGCATCCCATATCTGCAGCCGACTTAAAAACACAGTTGTAGGCGGGAATTTCCTTTTTTTTCCTTTTTAAAGTGACTAATTTTACGAAAAAATGAATAGTGCCTATTCTCAGACAATAATTTCCACTTTCTTCAAAAGCCAGATTAAGATATCATTAAAAGGTACCTTATTATAATCTCTTGCTAGTGTTTACAAGTTGAGATGAGAACAAAGTTTAAATAAAGATAGCACTATCTTGTAGTAACTTTAACGCCTTTTAGTGCAAGCGATTTGAGAGAAAATCTAGTTACAAATGGAACGAAATTGAAAACAGTCCAGGTGTTTGCCTGAAGCAATTAATTTTATGAAGATTAAGTAGAATTTTAAAAACGCCCAAAATACGCTGTATTTGAACCTGACGTAGACTGAGATAAGTTGAAAAGTACATAAATTCCAATGTATGCTTATTTTTGCAGTAAGTTCCTATATAATTATTGGTACTTTTTTTAAATGACGCTTTGCTACGGCTAGAAAAATATATTACTAAAAGGTTAGTACTTCCCACAAGAACTTTATTTTACTTCAGTGTATTTAGAATTCACTCATTTTCTTGTAAATGGTACGGCTATGTAATAGCTGCCTTAGCTAGATCAAAAAAACATAAAGCGTTTGCAAAATTTCTCTGACTGGCAAGCGAAATATTCCTTTTACGGCGACTTTGACATTTTTTACCAAATGCTGAATATTGTAAATAATAGCAACTTTTGCAACCAGCTTCTTAGAAAAATTCATCAGTTGCTTAGTCTAATATAAGTTTAAAATGACAATCGCCTATTCGCTGGTTGATACTTTCCACCTGCATATCATTCTTTTGCAGCTTAGGTAATATTAACAGAATCGTTGTGTTAATAAATAAAGATTGAGAAAATTCTACCTCTCCTAAATGGCCTACATGCACTATTTGAGCGATTTAAAAAAACCGGTCGATTTTAAATATAGTTAAATAATTGGGGACATTAGTTCATTTAAGACAGTAAAGAGATTTACTTAAGGACGTAAAAATTAAACGTGACTAAACTTTGTCTACACCCCAACTGACCAAAACTTGCAATTCTGACTTGACCAATGAAGTATTTAGTGGTAAAACTTAGACCTCCATAGAAATAGCACTTTAAAACTACGTATTTTTGTTTTTAAGCTTTCCTATCTATTGTCTAAGGACTTTATAAAATTAATGGTGAGATAAAACTACTAAAACTACATTCCGTTACAGACACCTTATTTGCAAATCTTTAATCTTCTGCTTAAAAAAGCGGCTGTTTTTTTTAAAGTCGCTTGCATTCATTTTAAGTGTGTCTAAAGTGAAACCTTATCTCAATTGCTTAATTATAAACTAAGCATGAGTGGTGGTTTAGATCCCATAAATTGACATTATATTCAATTGAGTTAGTCATTGCTTGGGAGTTGCAGGCATTTGATGCAGATCTTCTAACAAGCTACGAATAATTTCCAAGTTGGGTCGTTAAAATAATGATATCTCGCCCCGCTTTTGAACAAAGGTTCAACGAAGGTGGATTTTGTCCGATGCTACGGTATTTGATGATAGCAGAGATTTCCTGATGGTACAGATAATGTGGTGTGCTTAAACGACTGCAGTAACAGGAGTGTTAAAAAGAGCTCGCGTTCTTGCCAATCGAGCTAGCGCACCTCGCCTGTTGATCATCAAATAATCACTGCAAAAATCTTCCCACGCCACCTAGGCAAGTAATCAAGGATTTTCAAAATCACTCTCTGTGCCATTATGCATAGACATACACCTTGAGTGCTATTTTACACGCAATTGTGAAGGCTTGAATAATATTATCACAAATAGTTGCGATTCTAGAAACATTTCACAACAACACGCTATTATATTAAGTCGAAACATAAATTGACAGAAAATGTGATTATCATAGCAGAAGTAAAAAAGATAAGGAAATTGAGCGTAAATCGCATGTTTCGGCGAACCGTATCAATGCATAGTTTATGCGACCTTCATTAGCATGCATATTTACCTGGAAAGTGAAACCGATTGTTTATATTGGAAATAAGTAATCTTTTATTCCTTCTAAGTGTGCTTAATTGTCCCAAAAACCCAATTTTTGGCCCTATATTCAGCTTTATGAAGCAAAAATATACCAGAAATACCTAATTAGGAGTGTTTTTTGAAAGAGATTCAAATAGATTAATTCACTGCCTTTTGTTAGAAGGCAGAAAAACACTTTGCTTATCAAAACGGCCGCAAAATACAGACGGATATTACAAAAAGGCTTTTTTTTTAAAAATCATTTGCTAGAAGATGAGGCTATCAATTTAACAAATTGACTTAATCAATGTCTTGATGAAAACTAACTGTTACCATTTAAAAATTAAACCTTGGATTTAAGCTAAATTTCTCCTGCACAATATTGGTGGTTTGTAGTAGAGTATGTTAATTAGGTGTAAGCAAACAAAACAAGATGCTAAGTGACAAATATTTACGCTTAAATCTTAGTAAATATTATTACAAAGTGGTTGGTGATAAATTCTTAACTTGATCAAACTTTGTACAATCATGTTGGTTGAATAACTAAATAAAATCAATTAAAAGCTTCCTTAAGAAAAGTCATTACTAAAAATTGTTACAAAATTAATTAATAACCAAGAATAAATTCTATTACCATGTAGAATGATAAAACACCATGCCGATCCTGTTCAGTACTCATCAATATAAAATATCTACGATGTCCTTTGTGCCAAAACTGGTAAAACTAATATCAGCGCAGGTTTTGCTAAAGCTTTCGTCCTACCTTGACTGCACAAAGTGCCTTCACAACCACTGAATTTCCGCGGGGTCAGTTCTACACCAACATCGATACAGCTGATTTGGTCGCCGCCAGAATCGCCGCATGGGATGACGATTCTGGACTACCAATTGCAGTGCCGGTCTGTTAGTGAGATAGGTGTGACAAATCTCCCTCAAACACCGCTTACTATCTCGATTTCGGCCAAGCAGACAGGCTGGACCATCAAGATGCTTCAACCAGATACACTGTACCAGGTCAGCCTCTCTGCTCGAACGCACCACGGCGTCGGTGTGCCTGCAAAATTGGAAATCCGTACACTCAGTAACTGTACGTTCAGAAGTAATTTAAAGGGACTACTCTTGAGGAAGATGCAAAGCACATAACATTGAACATAATGTTATTGATAGAGTTGAGAAAGCATGAGTCCATAAGCACACATTTACGCAACAACAATGGCGTCCAGGTAAAGCAAGTATTATGTTGTTACATTAAGATGATGACAATTGAAAATTGAAGTGGATTTGGGATTTGGTCTAGACTGCTTCTAAAAATTAATTAAAATATTGAGATGCTGAGGAAAATATATTTACTATAAAAATTGCTATTCAGAATAAAGTATGCAATACTATAAACAGGTTTCTTTCAAATATATTCGAGTGCTTTGCCAACTATTTATTCACGTTGTTCGTAAAGACCGAATATTAGGGAAAATGAAAAAATATACATCGCCTATAGTTATTTTTTTATTCTTTCCAAATTTTAATTCGGTACAGGATATTTTTAATGATGTGAGCAAATTTCGAAGAATTTTAGTAAATGCTCACGCGCTGTGCGCTAATTTCCAACCCATTAACATATCGAACACTATACAATGGTTTTTTGACCAAGTGCCTGTACCATTTAATAGGGTAATTCTTAAATATATCTTCAAAACAATGAAGTGACTAATCTTACACTTCAACAGTATTTTAGGATAAAAGCAGAAGAAAATAGGTTCCACTCATAGTCATCCTTTTTTATTATCTCTCAACAATTGTCATAAACGTAGTCCATCAATAAAAATTTCAATCAAATTCATTAATATTACATTTTATGATTGTGTAGACATTACCGCAAACCTACGCTACATTTATTTTCCCCCTCAGACTATAAACGTCAAGGCCTATGCAGTTTAAGATTGAGGCCTTTAATTCAACATCCACGTTAGAATAAATTTCTTTAGAGCAGATGAAAAATGGCGGAATGTTGCCACTAAAATATGCGTGCACATATATACACATCCAAGGGCTTTTTTGTCCTACGTCGTGAAGAAAAGCATGGAAGGAACGGTCGTCTGACTAATATTTCATCGTCTACACATCACGAGGCGGTATGGCGTTTTTAAGCTGCGCAACATGTTTTACTTGGTAATCCAAAGACATTTAAATAAAATGCACCAAAAAAATAGGGGGGTTCTTTACTTTTTTTGAGAAGACCTGCTAAATTATTCTATCATTTTACTAACTAGCCGTTGTTAAAACTTTCGCACTGGTTAACTGCGGAATGGCTCCCTTCCATTTGAAACAAAATAAAGCTTAAAAGTAAGTACCGACAGTAATGAAAACCCTAGACCATGTTTATCTCTACCTGAACTGTGCTGAATTTAGTAGCTCGTTGTCATTATTGTTCGAATCTTCTCAGTGGGTTCCTACGGCTAAATGTTTAATGCTTTATTTACCTATTTTTGTGCATTTTGAAATGCTGTTTTATAGTTCCCAGGGTCTTGTTTATCAAACAACAGAATTTATGGTAAATCCAAGCTTTGTTGCCCAATTTCAAAGGCTGCCTACACAAAGAAGTATCACAACTATTTACCAAATGGAACACACTTCATACCTACTTATATGAATGGTAGTAGAATAATCTTGTAGTAGTTCAATAATTAGCTGCTTAAAAATTGTTTAATAGTTAGGAGCCAATTAAGCAACCTTGACAAAGATGAAGTTTAGAGCATTCTAGAAAGTAAACTTCTCTGTTAAACTCCTTTTGTAAACTTTAGGTTACTTCCAACTTGGATGCACTGATTCAGTTTAATCTTTCTTTTATGCAAAATTCCTCAAGAGAATTTCAGTCACAATTAATTAAGTGATATCTTGTTGTTTTTTGTCTTAGGATTGCATAAAATCGTTTAGCACTGCTTGCGCAACATAAGCCTACTGATAAGGTAATGATTTTGCATTTTCAGTTCTATATCCTCTTTCAATAAGCCCGAATGCATACTAGTAGTGGTAAAAAGAATTAGAGCTTTTAACACAGATTCACTTATCCCACTAAGCAATAAGCTTGAATTTTACAGTGAATTTGCTAATTTATTGTGCTTTAAAGCAAAATGGATGCATAACTAGTCCTATCGCCTAATTTTCTACGATTTACACAGTTATATTATCTAGAGTACATGAACAACATCTAACATATTATCATTTATAAACATTTTAAAAGTCACCATCAGAACTGTGCAATTGCCTTTTAAATATCGTACTAGTGCTCAATAAGCTGTAATCTTTGGATTTTGGGAATTGTGTGCCTACGTGAGTAAGCCCCTATATTCTTACAAGTGTTTAGCGTAGGACACATGCGCGCTGACAAAACCGTGTTTCGCAAATTTGACTGGTCCGTTCCTCTGGTTGGTCATTTAGCTCTCCCGACAACAAGTCGTACTTTTAAAATAGACGCTTCAACCTGCTTCCTACTTCTTATGCTACTCCAAACAGCCCATATGCCCTGCATTATCTACATTCTCACAGTTGCACTGCTCGGAGCGGCTGGACCGATTAATACTGATGTCCAAAACCATCCCTACTTTAAGCTTAGCACCAACCCCTGTCAGAAGGACCCTGGATTTTGTTTTTTAGTGCCTTCACCACCCCAAGATTTAACACTGGATAACTTTCAGAAGGAGACAGCCTTGACTGGTGGCGGGTTTTCCAGGGATTATATTGTATTAAAGTTAAGATGGAAGCCTCCAGCTGAGACCCATGGCGAACTTAAGGGTTACCAGGTGTCATTTCGCCTAGTTGGGCCCCCGGAATTGCTAATGATGACAAAGCCAGCAGAAGGAAAAGCTGGAAAATTAAGCGATGGTGCACAGATTACTCCAACTCATGCTGTCAGACGGAATGTCACTGGAACCTCATACACATCTACGCAGATTGATAACATTCGTGAGTTAAAAATACAATTATCCTGGTTATAAAAACAACTTACACCCTTGTATATATGTTATTAATTTTCATGATCCCAATAAAACGTAGTTTTTTGTTGCAAAGGTAATATTTCTGGTTAGGAATTTTGGACTAAACTCTCAGAATTATATAAGCTTTTGGTTGTTTTCAATATGCTTTATTTTTTGATCAATTAATTGGTAACTAGAGATCGGCAGAGGTTGTTTTATTTTATCTCATAAATTATAAATTACACTTTTTGGGGCTACATAATTGAAGTTTCGTCATAATTTAGTCTTATTATGAAAACGATATCCTTCGTTCTTATTGCACCATCTTTACTCAGACGTGGAAAATTGCCCCCTTATCTGGTAAACGTCAGTAAGATGAAATGTGTATCAAGTGCTGATCTACAACGCCACATCTTCTAATAAGGCTCTTACTGTAGTTACTTCTATCCTTAAATTTTATGGAAGTTAAGAAGTCAAAATGCTCAGATCTGCTATATCTTCTACAAATCAAGAAGCTTATTGGAAAATAGATATAATTGTCATCCACCTTTGAGTAGATCACAGGGATGTTAATGCAAGTGTGTCTCCGATAGTTGTGTAAATTTGTTATAAGCTCACAGTAATAGATTAGCGTTATCTCAGCTGAACGAGTTCATTCTAATGACAATAGATTCACATGCAACTTTGGCACTCTTCGGAACGTTAGCTTTAGTTTGAAAGCGCTACGTCTGTTTTTATATTTATTACGTAATAGGTTTTGTCTGCACATGGTTATAAATCAAAAATAGAAGTAAACGAATTGATAGCAAATAAAATCGAAAAACTGAAGGTGTTGCTCAAAACATGTAAGGGGTTTGTTTCTCAAGTGGATTTATTAAATTATACGTTTTAGTTTGAGAATCAGTATTAAAAAAAACAGTTTATGTTCTTACCATACATTACGAAATCAACACTTTTTCACAAATCATTAAAATGATAGACCAAGAACTTTTACCGGGTGAGGAATATATACGCTGCCACATATTCAACCTTTAACTGTTTAAGTAAATAGTGATAATCTCATTTGTTTGATCTGAACCCCTTGAATTTAATTTATTAATATGCCTGCACTTACATTTTAGTGTAATAATCAAATATATGACACCATTTTCGAGTTACGCGACTCCAGTTTACTCAAAAAACTAGAGCTACATATTAACCGCACTCCCATAATGCTCTTATGGTAGAGTTATATTCAATTTTGATAAAGTAGCAATCTATTAAGCAAAATGCTCTTTAGCATTGAACATCAATAAGGATAGCAGATTTCGTTTTATTAAGTTATTCCTAGAAAATTTGTATTACTAACTTACTGGTAATAAAGTACTCAGGCAATAATAACATCTAACAATGAACGGTATTGAATTAACAGGACTATATATGTTCGTAAGGAATAGATGAAACCTGCCTTAAATCAAAATATCCACTTGTGGTTGGTTTTAGGAATGGCAGCAAACGTAAAATGCACATTACCGTTTCTAAATTTGCAACTACAAAGTAGTTTCAGAGCCTGGATGAGTTTCCCATTTTACTTAAATAAAAACTGGTTTACGATGAAAAGGTTACAAGATAAAACGTGATCTTTATAGCCGAGATTAAAACGGTCTTGACACTATCAGTGACTAAAGCTAATTGCTTTTAATGAAATTCGTGCCTTTAAGACTTTACTAACTAAAATATTGTTAAATATAACTTTAGGTTTTTTCTGGATGCCCAAGTGTTTTACATTTGTTCCTGTACGCATGATTTTTGGCACATGTGCATAAGTTGATGGAAATTAATTAGTCTTGACAGAACAAAATTAAGAAAAATTGTTGAAAATGCATTAATATGGGTACATTTTGCTCCGGTTCTCTTAAAATCTATTTTAAGATAACGGTTTTGGCTTTAACCTACAAAATTTACCCCAACTTTGTTTTATCAATTACACTTTAAATCACATACTAATATTTAAGATAACTGAAATTGACAATACGTTAAATTTTATCCAAATGGTATTTTGAATAACAGCAAATGCTTGCTCTGCACTACTTTTATAGTTTAATCGTATTTTAAGAATTTCGTCAAATTTCCACGAATATTTTTAATAAATAAATGGCCTTAGTTCTTGAAGCCAAATAATTCAACAATCATCCATTTTTATCTAACGACGGATTTTGATGAAGTGTAAATATGCTAGATCCGTTTAAACAACACTTCAGCAGATGCAGGCAAACTTTTTCCCAAACCTAATTCATATGTTTGTCCTTTAATCTATTTTTCAAAGAGACGTAAAGGGTGGGTGAGCATACAAAAGGCAAAAAATCATAAGCTAGCAACCAACAGCTGACTGGTAAATACACTATCGGATCACCGTGCAAGTTAGCACTGCCCATTCCATAGAAAGCTATATAAACCCTATTAGTCGCTGTTATCATCCTGTCGATAGGTAAGGCTAGTGTGTAACTACGGCTGCAACAGTTGCCATTCTACCTTAGACTAATTGCTTTGTGTTATTTCGCGTGGTGACTCAACCCAAACTTTTCTTCCTTAAGCACCATAACGCCGTGCTTAGCCCTTATTGATAGAAGGGCATCGAAAGACGCATTGCATATTTGCAATAATTATTCATTTTCAGAGTAGAAATTGAAAGCTCCTCTTTGTCTAATGCAGTCTTAAGAAAGGCTGCCATTCTTTAAATTTCGTAAATATTCTTTTTTTAAACACTTGGTTGTAGTATCTATAGTTGAAAATATGTGTCGTTAGGTTTAGGCACTTTTAGGAGTTGAAATGAAGTTTTAATGCTCAAGTGAATAAATGGTGATCTTTTCTTTGATTTCAGTATGAGGAGAGGCTTTGCTAATGTGCATTTTTTAAATTATTATAAGCAATGTAGGAATTAATTTAGGAGGAACAAGATTATGCAGAAGTAATGTTCCCTGGTAATTTGATTCAATATTTTTCTTTTCATTTTATAATCAGTAAAACATTTCCCCAAAATGTTGGTCATAAAATAAAAGACGTCCAGTTATAGTGCGTGGAAATTTAAGTAAAAACAGCAAAAAATAAACAATTGTTCATGTAAAACATTAATAATCTCATACAATATAATGTGCAGGAATTCATTTTTGAAAACTCATTTGATTTAATTACTGGGACTCCATGAAGGCCCGCAGTTGATGAGTATTGTTACAACAATAAACCTTCTGAGATATTAAGTCACAATTGTAACCCTAATTTCGCCCCAAAAATTGCAAATTATGCGTTTCTCCGCACGACAATCACCGTTCAAAGAAAGTAGAAGAAGTCCAATTAGTTGTCCAAATTGCACCTCTTCTATTTTAAACCAATTGTATTTTTTAAATGTTGTTCTTACATAGTAAGCAAAGTAATGAATGCTCTGGGATATGTGCAATCCATTTTAAGCAATACTAAAATAAAGCCTAATTTTAGAGTTCGGAAGGATTTATCAATTCGAAGTTGCCGCTTACAATAACATCGACATCGGTGTTCCAGCACATTTAAATATAACGACGCCAGAAAATGGTGAGTTTTTATACCTTAAATAAATTAACTTGTATTACTGTTGGCAGGCATTTGCTGACTCTATGCTGATTTTGAAATCGCGGATAATTATGGGTTAGCAGAAAGATCTTGGTAATCACTGAAAACTATAGAAGGGATTACTTTAAGAGATGCTTTATTTCTGACACCATAACATAAACGACTAAATAGGGAGCAAAGAAGTTTAGTTGCTGCCAGAATTTTGCCGTGAAATTGGCGTATTACGTTGTTAAAAAGGCGAAAATGTTGGCTTATATCCAAGTACCTTTAGTAAGAGGTAGTGGAGACCCAGGTAATTTCCACAATTTCATCATAGTTGTGATAATTATTTTTGTTGTAAAAATAGTTCTATTTTGTCAATATTTTAAATGAATCAGCATAAAATGAGTGCTAAATGCCATTAAAGTTAGTATTTAAATACTCAAAAGGTAAGCTTATCTAGTTATGCTTGTGACTTATCCCATTTTTCACTTAATTGACACGCTTCACCATTCATTACGAGAAGCGCAGTAAATCGACAGCGTTGTAGTTCTAAAAAAATTAAAGGCTTTTATCATGACCAGGTAAATCAATTGGGGAGAAATGAATTTTAAATTTTTGTTGGTTTTCTGCAGCACGTCCACGACCCTTTATTTGGTAGTCAAATTACATAAAAAAATTGGTGACATGCAGTACACTTAAAAATAAACGTATCCATATCGGGGGTATGAATTCGGTTCCAACCCTACGAATCAAGAAATGTAGGTCTGCGATAAGCTTATGATAATATTTAGTCAAATGATCAACAGATTCCGGATGATTAATTCTGGGCACTTTATTCAAATGGGACTGTATTTCTGATTTGTACAATCATCTTACTAAAATGGATTAAGCATGCGCCTGGAAATTCTGCCATCGCATATACTACTAAACAAGGAATTTTGATTAATGCTGTACGATTGTTGTAAATACTTTCATTCATGCAATTTTCACCGATGTGATGCATTTTTCTGATTACTAGAATTACAACGAGGCCAGTTTTGTGTAGATTCACGCTCATTTCTAATTTTTATTTCTTATGCCTTCTCGGTTCAAACGTAAAACAGCTCCAGGCAGTTTTCCCCAGCATTTACGCGTAAGGGGTCTTTCTACAAATTCAGTTGAGATCTCGTGGTCTCCCCCACCAAAGGAATCAAGAAATGGAATCATAATTGGCTACCAGGTAAGCCCTCAACAATACGAAATGATTTCCCGGTAACTTATGTTACTATAGTATTAGTGCGCAAAAAAAATGCTTATTTAGGGTTGACCATTGGTTTGGATGGAATGTGCAGTATTTGAAGAATGAGGACTAAGCACCACTAATCTTGTATTAAAGTATACACTTCAGCATTCTATTTCATTTAGGATAGAGTGCATGAAATATCAAAGAAGGCATCTAGTTTTCCCCTTTTTAAAGCAGTTTAATAAAGTATGTTAAAAAAGTGATGTTTCGCTATATCACTTTTAGCAATTCACTTAAACAAGATTGTGATGTTCAACGCGAGAAATTATTAAAGTATGCCAATACATGGAAATGAATTAAGATAATGTAAGAATTAAAAGCAAGATTAGTGGATTATAATTGGACAGATATTATGCCAGAATGACTAATTAAAACCAGCACTTTCAAATACATATGTCATTTTTTCCAATTTTCGTTATGGTGTGCAAATTTATTCCAAGCCGTACATTTTAGCATCTTATTTGTACAGTTATGCATTGCTACATATCGCTAAAATTATGTCAGAATATTTAAACACTGAGGTATAGACGTTGAAAAAGGGTACTCAAGCATAAGGGAAAGCAAATAGGTGCGGCCTAAGTGTTTTGGATGAGGCGCTTTAAACAGTTGATGAAACTTTGTAATTCCAAATAAGTGTATGATTTTGGGGCTGCAGTCAGTAAAAATAAACTCCTGCACCATTACTTGCCATTGTGAAGACCCGTTGATATCGTTGGTATTTTGTAAATCTATAGAAGCGAAATAACAGGCGTGCTCATTTTGGTTAAGCAAAATTGCCGTTTTTTAATGATATGCATTTGAGTGGTAGGAAACGTGACTTAGATTCGGGCTCTTCAATGAGATAGTACGGAAGTTATGCTTTTTCCCCAAAGACGCTATTGGAATTTGATTTGTGAAGCCATAGTCGTGTTAAACAACGCTCGAGTCTTCAAAATACGGTCGCTACGGTAACAGCAGCAATCCTAAAAACTGGGCGCTGTTTATGCATCTTAGTGAGAATTTTTTTAACTTACCATTTTCCCCTAGCGAGAAGGTTAAGAACCCTTTTTCAAAAAAATTACAGACCAATGAAGGCTTACTAACACATTTAATAACAGTGTAATGGTACATACATGTAAAATGATACAAATTCAAGCCCATTCAACAATGCATTCTCCTTTGTTTAGGTGCACTACTATGAGTTCGGCTCACCACAAAACACAGCTAATTATCAAAACACCACCCAAACTTTTCTACGGATTGATGATCTACAAGAGCGAACAGTTTACACTTTTCGTGTCAGAGCCTTTACTAGTTCAGGTCCGGGACCCTGGTCAGCTTCAAACACTCTCCGAACAACAGCCGACCGTGAGCCAACCATACACAATGTGTTAGAGGGGATTTTTCTGTTCTTTGCTATATGAGTGTTTATTTAGTAGGCGTGACGTCTGTAAATATTTTAATATAATAGTTTTAAGTTACAAATTAAAACTAATAAGTTTTAGACTCACGCTGACTCAACAAAATTCTTGTTTGCTTACACACGATGCATATTACATCATCTCATAGTTACAAAGAAGGGTAGTGTCCTCGAACGAAACGCAAAGTCATTTGTGTTATGACTTCCTTAAGGCAGCCTTAAGCACTTTTAATGAAGCTCTCACCATGTGAAATTGTCGTTAGCTAATGCTGAGTTAGTTGCAACTTTTGCTTTAGTTCCAGATCCTCCAACACAAATAAAAGCTGAACGGATCAATCAACGCCAAATCAAGGTAACTTGGAGTCTTCCGCGTCGTTCGACCCACCATATTAGCAGTGACTTACAGCAGCGGTCCACGCCGGTGACAGGTTTTCGCATCTGCTATGCAGCACATGACAGTGTGGTGGACCCTTCTAGGAAGCGAGTTCTCGAGGTAGGGGCAGTGACGATGGCTACTTTGGATGACGTTTCGCCAACGGAGAGTTACAACATCAAGATTCAATCACGTGGAACTGATAAACGATTTGGTAACTGGAGCGATCCGGTTATGGTAGGCGAGAGTCAGGACAGCGTTTATCACCCACGTCGCGTGGCCGATTTACGCTGTTTTGGTGTGAAGCCGTTGGAGTTTACTAATCCTGCGGAGGCCAGTGTCAAGGTTACCTGGTTGCCACCGCCAGATCAGCGCGTGCTGAAGGAGTATGAGGTATTTAGGAAATGCTCTAGTAAGACCGTCACCTAAAAAGTGAACGCATTATTTAGAAAATATTATAAACATTTGAAATATCGATAGAACTTCAGGTGAATTATATGTTCAAGGAAGATGTTTGTTGTATAAACCCATGTGCGCTTGCATTCCTGGTTAAAGTTGTAAGAAAATTAGTACATCCCATTTTTGATCCAGTTTAAGGAGCAGAAATAGGTGGAATAATTTTAAAGCATCTTAAAATAAGATTAAACCTAAAAGCTCCACTACTTTCGTCTGTAATTAACTTTTTCTTAAGGTTTCGGTGTGTCTAAGGAGATTTTGACAGTTCTCCCTCAAACCTACGCGAAATTTCAACCCAAAAAGTCATCAACTGCAGTTAAAAATAGCTCTTATATTCGTCATTCACGGAACCCTTCTAACTTGACAAAAGTGTTCTCGAATTTTTTGCCGAAGGCAATTTGAATTAAATCACGATGTATTTATACAGTTTCTCGGTTTCCGTAAATATAATTTCTTCAATATACACCTGATTACAATTCTGAAGGTAATTTATTGAATTATTTCGGAGGGATTTATAAAAATCAAACTCTAATTCCAATGATGTTATAATTTTATTCTTCTTTTACCAACAAATGTACTTTCAAATGTGTGCAGAACAAGTAAACGTTTTTTGCAGTAAAGATTTTTCAAAGTTTTCTCACAGACTTAAAAGTTCATTATTTTAACTTGTGCTATTATTTTCAGCTTTGCCTTGTAGTAGCTCTTAACTATTACTTCTTTTATTACAGATTCAAATCAGTGGTATCAAATCATTCACTAATGAGCTAAATGACCCTGTGAGACTAACTTTGGGTCCGAAAAAATTGACTGTTAGCTTAACGAAGCAGTCCGCCTTTGGTGAACACCTGGGACTCCAAAATGACTTTCGGCTTAGAGACCAGGATTCTTTGTTAGTACATACCATCGACAAACTGGAACCAAATGCCGTTTTCGACATTGAGGTACGACCCGTCTACGAGACTCTTAGCGATCGGCAAAGAGGTGAAGCGGAAGCTCTGTGGGAACGGACAAGCTGCCGAACTAGAATGCACCGTAAGTGCATTGCGGTGGTATGGATGTTTGTACTGTGCCGATGAAATCTATTTTTTCCAAGATGATGCTTGTGAGCCCTATTAACAAAGAAAGGCAATTGAAAATACTCATTTTTTTGTCAGTTTGTCTTCAAATAACTTTGAATAAATTCACTTAATTTGTTTAAAGCTTATTTGAAATTCCTGTGAAGTGCTTAGTATAATTCACGCACAAATAATATCAAGTCTGATGTTTTTACAGCAACTCCGGTCAAATACTCTCTTCTTTCGTTCATTATCAGTATGAGTGTGGCCATCAAGGCTTATCAAAATATGGAAGAAAAGGCTATATCTTGTCATCGACAGCCGCTTCACCGTCTATTACCTGATTCATTATACTCCTGCTAAAGTTAGCTATAAAGATCTCAGACATAAGACCTGTAACCAAAACACTGTAATTTAAAGAAGTCAAACTGTATGTTTTGAGTTGTTCTCAGCTTGGATTCCGATGTGAGAAATCACTAATTTAAATCATTTTATTACTATGAAATTGGTAATCGGGATGCTGACACATTCCGACATATTTAAATGGGTTGCCATAAAGCTATTTTAGCATACTATATTAAATGGAAGCGAAATAAAGACCACTATTAGGTGCACAAAGAAGTACGGACTCCCTTGGGCAATGTGAATTATTCGAAATTTCTCTAAGCGGATGATAATTGGCCTAAAAGCTATAGCCTTTTCCTCTATTAATTTGTTCATGTGAACGCTAGAAGATGCACAGATCCTTTCCACAAATCACTTTCCATAGTACTAATAGTGGACATATATTTAAGGACCGTATTCGCTTTGCACCGACTCCATTGATCTATAAGTGATTTATGGGAAGAAATAACTCAAAATTGCTGTCTGCTCGGTGGTCCTCCTGGGATTTTCCACACATCGTCAAGTAAAATTTTCGGATTCTCCATGTGTTCTAACTGGTTTTATTTTATAAAATCACGAATATGAGGGCACAAATTATATAATTAATATTTTTGTAAACTTGGTCTTGTGATTGGAGACTATTAACATTAATGGTTTATGAGAAAGACAGAGGTTCATCACCCTACGACAAGACTTTAGCGCCATTTGTAAAGCAACTCCAAGAAAAACTGATTTAATAAATAAATAAGCCTCTGTACCCATAAGGCCTCATAATTATCATGCCTTTCAGCCAATGGCCGATCGACCACATAAGTTTAATCAATTAAAAACCTCTGAAACACGTAATTAATACTTTTATGTCTTAAAGTGTGCAGTTGCATATAGTTTGACTAATCTATGTTAATTTACGTCATTTAAGTGGGTTACTCTACCTTAATTCAAGTCCTTGAGAGTTCATCGGAGGCGCTTACCTATTTGAGATTTTAATTTGAGCAGAGTCCCGTTTTTTGCTTTTTTCCATCAAAATACAACCCGTTTTATGCAATGATAGAGACACATATGAGTAATGGAGCTTATGCTTCTGCTTGATAGTCATGATAAGTTTTCATCGGTAATCCTCTAGGTGTTCCACGCAAAACGATTGTCGTTCAGAGTGAATCTGTACACTTTCATTTCCGGCAACGGGTATTAGGCATTATTAGTCATTTAGTGGATTGTTGTTGAGGGTGTTGATCTTACCATAAACATTAGTTATTTGGTTACTAAACGAAATCATTAAAAAAAACAAATAATGGGAGGAAAACTGTTCACATTACCTGTCAGATCTTTGGATGTGGAAAGAACCTGAAAATGGTAAGTGTATTTGACCTTAAAAAGATAGTCAAAATATTTGAGTAGAAATAAACAGTGCACCCATATCTTGCTTTTCAAGCCAATCGGGGTTCGCTTAAAGGATTTGAGATATCGTGTTTTCTGCCTGGGAAACTAAGTTTGCCAAATTTTGTTTTCATAAGCTATTTTTTCCTTTTTTTCTCGCAGCACCTGTGAACATCACAGCACCAGTTCCTGTAGCATTCAAGGCGGACACTAATGAAGTTTTAGTGCGTCTTCAACGAGTTAGTGAAAATTTGGGACCAATTCGTCGATACTACCTCATTATCAGTAGTTTGGAACGTGCCGGAGTCTTAATTTCGACGGACCACATAGATTGGCACAGTGAAGTATGTTTTACGATCCCTATACAATTGACGATACATGTTTTACCACAGAGATTGATCACAATTTGATTCAATATGTCAGGTTATGAATGAAATTGCAACAGTGACTTGGACGGATGATTTTTGTCCTCATTTAGATTTCCATAATTTCTAGAAAAATGCACCTGTAGAATGCAAGTTTCATTAATTTGATAGTTGCGAACACTTTCCAAATGCTTGTTGTTGTTTCCTTTGACTTCTAGCGCAAAAAAGGTATTTTTCCCAGTGAATGGAGTTATAGGCCAAACATATCCTGGATTCAAGTTAATCGCAGAGGTTATCTTAAAGCTTAGTCAAACGTAAATCTCTGCCATTTATTTCACCTTTTTAATTTACGTAGCCGACAAACATACAATTTGTAAGCTTTGATATTTTATGAATTAGTAAAACGATATTTAGCCTGGTTGAAGAACGTAAATTTGGTAGGAACGATGTAAATTTTTAAATTTTCAGCTTTTGCGTATAGCACCGGGTGTAAACAAGGCTGAAACGCGTGTGGCGGCGGAATTTACTCAATTGGCATTCGATTCAACCCAGCTGGAAATTCAAGTTGGTGGTCGGGAGGAATTCACACGGAATCGGCGCTCGGTGGCTTGGAAAGTGTCTCCAGAAGTTGGCAGAGCTTCATCAAAGATACTCGACGATGACTCAAGTCAATATCACTCAGATATACTGTTATATGATTGTAGGCTGTCAAGGGGAAAGCGCTACAAGGTATAATGTACTTGCCAGCTGAAATTTATTGCGGAGTTGTGACATCAATTGTACGGGTAAACCGCTCTCCGCATAGAGAAAAGTCACCAATGTATTTTATCTCTGGGTGGATTGCCCAAAAGTTTTCCGGAATGCACATAATCTACCTCCTTGGTTTTGCGTGGTTTGGGGTAAAAGACACTTACTCACGAAACAATATTTCATCATAATGAAACAGAAGGTCGGCCACATTCTATCCTCATTTCCTTCATATAGAAGATAATTTTTCTAAGATGTCAGTAATCAATATAATGAATTTTAGCACCTTATAATATCATTGACAATTTATGATAGTTGAGAACCATTACCTTGGAGATAGATTTATAATGCGGCATGCTAGCAATGCGAGAATATTTAAATTCTGGAATGATCACAGACAGGTTCCAAATTCGTATGAAATAAAATCACAAGATTGCAATTTTTCGAGTTTCAGAAATGAGTGGTTCTAAAATTTAGTTTTTTTTCGCTATCCTGGTTTTTTGTGGATATTTTTAAATTATTTTAGGCAATACTTCTAGCATGCATATATCCGGACGTTCAGTATGCCGTACCTCTTCATAAACGGCCGAATCTTAGTTACTACAATGGAAATCAAGCCGGATCCAAAATTATCACTGACTCTGTTGACAAAGGCGATGAATACGAGGATAGCATAAATCCCAATTATTGCTCCTCAAGTCGATGGTCTGTTACATTTACTCCTGAGGAAAGCCTCATAGTCACCAAGGCGAATGGCATTTCCGATTTAGCTGGAAGTGGCGGTGAGAGTTCCACCAATGGTGTAATAAATCGTACCGGTCCGTCTTTTTTCACCATTATCCTCGTTACCGTTATTATTGGTCTCGCGTTGGTTGCCCTCGTCTGTATTGCTGTGCAGTGTTTTTTCAGGTTTGTTAACACTATTTGAATGTTTGAGGCCTTTAAGTGATGTATTTGACTCTCAATATTCTGAATAAACAGAATTACTCTAACCCCTTTTAAAAACTTAATCAACTTACTTAGCCTTCATCTTTATAAACAAGTACTGGATTTCTTTTATCCGTATGCATTGCTTAAAAGTATTTCTTAAATTTGGCAAAACACGTAAAGCGGGCTTCTTGACTCCTGTGAAACGCCCTCCTGATTCTCACAAGTGACATATCACAGGCTATAACCGCATAGGTTCACCTACAGTTTACGTCGCATGAACACTTTGCCGGTTAATTGAATAGCCATTATAACTTCACCTCGACTTGATCAAGCGGTGTTTGTAATTGACTTGCCAATAGCAACACTTTTTGCATGTTTTTGATGAATTTAGGTTACTTCCACTATTTTTGCAATGAATCATTGTTTCCCAGAAGTATCTATTTTAGGCTCAGTTAACTTATGTATGTTGTAGAAAAAGCGTTCGCCCGCCTCCTAGCTAATACTTGTCTAGAAGTGTGTATACATCCCCAGTACTTAAAACAAACACCACTTAAGGCAGTTTGTTTGCGTGATAAACACTTTGGTACTAAATCTTTCATTTCAGTAAATTCCTTAGGTTATAAAATACGCTATTACAGATATTCATCAAGCAAAATTATTGTACCCCACTTCTTGTTACATATTGATTGGTAGGTTTGTAACTTAACCTAATGTCCAAATGATTACCATTATTTTGAGTATCATTTGAAACATATGGTGAAATATACGTAAACTGACATATCGGCATTGTAATGATTTTTCAAATGCACTGATAAAAGGTGTTAAAGTCGGTGTATGCAGTGGATACAAGTCATTAGGCTATGTGGTGAAACCGAGATCATTTTAACACTGCAACCGGTCAAACCTCTCTGAATGAGAAGCACTAATGGTTTATGAGCGAGTTTAACAGGACAACGGGCCAAATGTATTTCAATGCGTTTGGAAGGCTGGCAGGGAGATAACATATTTCTGAACAATTTATTGATAATCTGGTGTCGGGCTCTAAATATGTCCTCCCTTTATTGCCAGTCCCATAGGGTAACTTGTTTTCATTAATAACATCGGGTTGTGGAATCATATTTCTGAAATGGCAATAGAATGAATGATTTGAGAATCTTCACCGACAAGTTCATGATTTTGATAAGTTTTCGGACTAGTGATGTTCTATCGATGAATAAAAATAAGGGCGACTCTTCCAATTTCCAGACGAAGATCAAAGCAACAACGCAATTCTATTGGTGCAAAGCTGCCAAAGACGGATAACAGTTTGAAGGTACCGCTTATGCCGCCGTCCCATCATAAAAGTCTCGTCCCCGGAATAGATCCTGCTGAGATGCACCCTGGTGAGATTCAAAGCAGAAATGGTTAGTCTAGCCATATTTGAAGTGAAGTCAATCTAGAAGTTCCAAAAATTCTTTGTACATTTATGGCCTTAGAACAATTCTTGCCTAGGCTTGTAGTTCTTATTAGTAATAACACTTATTTTCACTTTGTCATCGGGCTTTTAAATAACTAATTTGATCCACCGTTTTCCATGATCAAAATACCCGTGATATCTTCCCAACGAATCACATTACTGTTGATGGTTTCCTAAAATACTTTTTACGATTTGCATTAATAAATAAAGTACTTGAATTTTATAGAATAGTAATTGTGTTTGATCAGTTCACTCAAAGCAATATTGGGAGCCAAATATGTTATCGCATTTTCGGCACAACTTATCGAAGTAAACCTGCGTTAATTATGCCCACTTCCCCTTGGGTGGGATGATGTTCATTTCTTCATAAATATTTTTATCCTCAGTCAGCTAATTCTATTCATTTATGGCTAATTTACCCTAAAATGGAAATAAATTGGTTGTGCCCACATGGTGGAGCAATTATTTTAGTCAAATTTTAGTAAAACAGTTTTCTAACTTACAGATTATGTCACGGATTCTTCTTCACCTGGTAAGTTATTACTGACCAAATGACGAGTCGCTCAGTTTCTGACTACATATCTTGCCAGTGTCTTAAGTTGTATATTTATGAAGCATATCACAATAAACCCAGCCATTCGCTCTGGTTCCCACACTTTATTTTCCGTTTTTTTTCTTGTTATTCTAAAATAGATTTTGTGTTAGATTTAGTCATTCTTTTCCCGTATGTATATGCTCGGTATATTGTAGTTTATTTGAGAAGTTTCAGTTAAAGTGACATTCTTGTAAAGGGTAACTGAGAAAATACAGGAAACTTAGTCGTAAAGCAATTAATAATCTCTTGAAAAGACATCGTGTATCTTCAAAATTGTTTTTACTTAGTATTTATGCTCAAATCCTTTTAGTGAGTTAGCACTTTCAATTCTAAATTAATAGGCAGTCCATGAAACTCGTTCAATAAGGCTCATGAGCAAAATTAAAAAGCGTTTAATTCAAGCTTTACATTGGCAAAAGTAATTTAAATAGTACCCTAATTTAAGACCAGTGATTTGTTTTGTTATGAGGCAACGTTTAAGTTCTTTAGTTTGGAATAATCGTCCCACGATTTTGTTAAATTCAACAAATACGTATTGTTCCGGTGAATCTAAAACTAGACTTTTCCGTACTTCCTTTTAGTTGGTCATTTATGGCCGGGTTGTCTGTAAAAGTTTACCAATTCGTAGGCAAAAGAAGGGAGCTTAGAGGCTCAATGTTTAAAAATGTCATTTTGATTATTCTTTTCCCCTATTTGTTGAAATAGTACTACAATAGTATAACCAATAAAATCCTTGGTGTGCCTCCTATTTTTGGAATTATTTTGGACAATTCTTCTGAAACTAATATTAACAAACCATCCCTTCAAATTCTTTCCTGATTTGCGTTTAAAGAACTTTACTTTAACGTCGTTTTGACTGATCTACCAAGATTCCTTTATCCAGCTCTAAATAATTTGGGTGACGGTCATGCAAACAACTAAATGAATGAAGTGAAAATAGGAGCAAGCAATGACTAGTATTTTTAGTAAGAAATAAGTTTCCTGCAAGGAGTGAAAAAGTGAAAAATCCTAAGCAAATCTGTATTTAGTCAATTTACTAATATTTCAATAGTGAAATAAATACCTAAGCAAAAATTATTAAAATGCTCATCTGTAGATTCTTTCTGACCATGAGTTGCAAATTTTAGCAACTTCTTAAAAAGTCGCATTTGTTAATGGTTGTGAGTTGCTGATCAATGGATATGAATTTAATTATTACACTATTTGGAATTAAGAAAGCTGTTAACAATTAAGTTGGGGTTTAAATGAGATGTTTACACGACGATGAAATTAGCATACGTAAATATGCGGTTAACAACAATTTTATTTTTGATGTAATAGCATTGGTGGCAATATTTTACGTTTGTAAGAAACTGTCAATTCGCGTAAAGGAAAGCATTGATTTCAAGCGAATATGCCCTCCTATGTATTTCGAATATCACACCTTTATGCTCTAGTTAACTCTTCGCATTCACCCGGTGTTCGTGCATCGCCACCGCCGCAAACCTCAGAGGTACTCGAACATGGACCCCCTACTCAGGCGCTTTCGGCGCCAGGAACGCCACTTCAACAGACGCCACAGTTTATGCTGGGTCAAACCCTCCCTAACCAATCACCTATCTCTCTCAATCATCTTGCTGTTCATGTGGCTAACCTTAAGTCCTTCGACAACAATGGTCTCTATAAGGAATATGAAGCAATTGATTCAGGCAGTGGCTTTACATGGCAGCATGCCAACATGGAGTTGAATAAGGCCAAAAATCGGTACGCGAACGTCATTGCCTATGACCATAGTCGCGTAATTTTAAGCCAACTTCCTGGAGTGCCGTGCTCAGATTACATCAACGCCAACTACTTGGATGGTTATCAACGACCAAATGCCTATATTGCCACACAAGTAAGAATTATCTTCAAGTGGATGGTTTTCTTTCAAAGTCAAGTAGAAAGACGTATCGGTTTTGCCATTACTGAGCTATGTTTCGAAATGGATGAAACTCTTTCATTTTTCTACTGTGTTGCAGATGAGCTGTTAGCTGTATTTTACGTTCGAATCATAGTATTAAGACCAGGAAATTTGCTACCGTTGTGTTGAAACCTCCTTTGCTTATACCAAAAAATCAGCTAATCTATATCACATTGGTTGCAACCCATCTTTCCATCTAAATGCTAAATTACATGAGCATTTCTATTCTTTTAGGATTTTGGGCTGTATTATTTTAGTATTTTATTCAGAATTGTTACCACTTTTAGGATCAATTATATTATTATTCATTTTTTTTACAAGACACGTTAGCAAAAATAGCCTGTGAGAGTCTGAATGGCCAAAAGACAGGTAATACGTTCTTAATTTTGTTTTTCATTTTGATTATTATGTAGGTTCTGCGAGTAATAGTTAATCTGTAAACTAGTCACAGGTATTTCTTTTAATGCATAAGAGTTTGGTCTTTGTATTAAAACACTTTTAAGATGCCGAGAATCTAAAGTAATTATAGTAGGATTAAACTGTCTTTCTTGTGGTAGACGAAATGACTAAAAGAATTAAACCTGTATGTTTAAGGAACCAAATTTAGTCAATGGGGTTATAGAAAGCTAAACCTTAATAATACACACTTGGACCTGAAGAATTCTTAAATGTAAAATTGAAACCAAATATCTCCGAGGGCAAGTTCATAGACACAGTTTTGTGGAGTTCTCTAGCAGAATTGCGAGTCTTGATTAAAGGTGTTTCCAAAGTATCTTTTCTCACCTTGTTTTAGGGACCACTGCCTGAAACGTTTGGTGATTTCTGGCGTATGGTATGGGAGCAGAACTCAAGAGTGATTGTTATGATGACAAAATTGGAGGAGCGTTCGCGTCTCAAATGTGACCAATACTGGCCTTCACGTGGCACCGAGATCTATCAAATTTACCTCGAAAACGAGCCGAGATCGCCTTCAATCGACTTTGCTGCCTTTGCAGTTACTCTTCTTGATGCAACGGACTACGCCTATTATACCATCCGCACGTTTAGCCTTCAGAAGATGGCTCGAACTTCTGCCAGTGACAAGACTACTTCACAGAACCCTCATAACAACTACACAGATGATACAGTTAATCTTCAGCCACTGTCAGAATTGCGCCAAATTAAACATTTCCAATTTACTGCATGGCCTGATTGTGGGGCTCCCGAGCAGCCACAACCCCTTCTCCTCTTCATTCGTCAAGTCAGTCAGGCACGCAATGCTTTGAAAAAACAAGTTCACAGAGGACAAAAGGATGGTATTCTTCCACATTTAGTTACGAACTCTGCCTCTGTCCGCCTAGGACCCACAGTCGTCCATTGTTCTGCTGGGGTTGGAAGAACAGGTGTGTCTTCAGTCAAGTTTTCCTTCAACTCAGTCTATGGTCCTGCACTACTCCTCCATGTTGGTATTTGGTTTCGTATGCTTAAGATTTTGATGGCGTATAATGGACTTTTTTACCAAAAAAGTATGTCTACTTATCAAAGGCAACTCATTTAATGCACATATAAGCTATGTATATGCAATATGAATAAATAATCTAATTTTTGAGGCAGGAGTGGTCTTTTCGTGCTTAATACTTAGTATATTTGTCACAATTGGTTAAACCTAATTAAACCACTTGATTTTGTCATTTTCCGAAATAAAACTTCTTTCGAAAAACCTACACTTAAAAAAATTTAAAAATATTATTTTCGGTATTTATCTAAATCATACCATTACTGTACCTTGAATCTATCCGTAACAACAGACTGATTAATAACACAAGTACGCATTTATAAATGTGAGGAAATTGAATGAAGTCAATAAAGGCCCTCGTAACGAAGTTGAAGGCATAATTTACTTTCGTAAACAATTTCACTGGACAACTGCATGTGATGTGTTTAAACCCAGGGGGTGAATGGTGGTTGAGGGCTGCATCAATTTATGTGAAATTTCTAGCCATTCCAAGTTTTGATAACTTTATTTTTATTTAAGCCTTCTTAAATGTGTAAGCACAAATTTTTTGTACTTTTAAGTGGAGTAAAAATTCTACTGTAATTTTGGAGTATTCCTTTTGTTTTAGGGCTTAATCATTTTTGTTAAAGTTATTTTTTTTTGTGATAATGTGTCGACTACATTTGCAGGCCCATCTTTTAGTGATAAATCCGTAAAACTGACTTCCATTCTTTCTTAGCATCCGATTCAACCAAGCAAGAAGCAAATTATTTCTTGGCGTATGGATTTATGTGAGTAGCTAAAATGCGCGATGAAGAAACGCAAAATAAAGCAACTCATTGGTTGCACTGTTTATCTACCCCTTTAGATATCCCTTTCTCAAAAAGAGTGATTAAAATTAGCTTGCAATTTGTCCTTTGTATTTACTTAAACTAAAGCTTTTGATGTGAAGACACGTAGAATGACAATGAAGCGGATCTTTCATTCATTTGGTTTGTGACAGCTTATTAACTGCCTTAGCAGACTATTCACTCATGGTGTTTGTCCTTACTGCACGACTCGGTGATGTCCTTAAGACAAGTGCATTTTGCTGAAAATTCTTAAAGCTGAGCTAAGTTATGGCATTCAATTAATTTAGGCCAATTAGCACTTAGGCTGTGCTGCAATCGACGCAAATTGCACACAAAACTTCTTTTTTGTATTTTGCCATGTTAAAGGCGCCTTCATAGTCATAGACTCGCAGCTAGATCGCATCAGAGCAGAAAACACAGTGGACATATTTGGTGCCGTAAGCCGAATGCGTGCCCGACGCAACTTCATGGTGCAAACGGAGCAACAGTACGCCTTCCTCTACGAGGTCATGGTCGAGGCAGTGCAGCTGACAGGCAGCGAGGTGACCGCACACAACCTTTACAATTATGTCATGAAGTTGCGTCAAACTGCACCCACTTCGATGCTCAGCATGTACCTTGAGGACCACGCCAACAGAGGGGCTTTGAAAGTCAACTTCCCCACCAGTATGAGTACCCTAGAACTGGAATTTCAGGTTGGGCCAAATTATGTTTTATCTATCTTTCTATTAAACAGGATCGCTCACTTGTTAAATTTAGATAATCTATATTCCTTAGTCTACCACCAGTCCTAATTAAAAAGTGTTGAGGTAATTCTGCATCAACAATTTATTTATTATTTCATCGTTGAATTAAGTGAGTGTGCTTTAACTTATTGTTGATGGACCTTTAATTCTTCTCCCGCTGACTCATTTTCAATCATTTGATTTTCGTCGAATTAATGTTTAAAATTCGGGTTTAGAGTTTATAGGACTTGAAAAGTGAAAATTATTGTGTCCATACATTCAATAACAGTCTTCTCTGATTATGAAATATGCCGAGTTGATTAGAAACCCAAAGTTGCGATTGGAGCTATTTAACCGTCGACACATTTGTCCCCTCTTTCAGATATTGCATCACTGTTTTTTGCATCATTATTTCACAAATATATTGTTAATTAAACACTATTTATCTTGCGAAGAAACTGTTAAAGGCAAATAAATGACTTAATCGGGAGCTTGACATATTTTGCACAGTTGATGTATGCGAACTGTTTGCTTCCTACTGTAAGGTACTGTACAACTTTACTGGCTGTCCATGATATATAAGTAGATTTAATTTTATTTTACTGGATCCTCCTCCTCCTCCTCCTCCAACACATATCATGTGCTTCAGTGACATAAAACGGTGTAAGCTCATTCATCTGTTGCATTAGTGGGTATCTTGTTTAAAGTTGTGGATGATTTTAGAGGTAATTTTATTATACTATTTTGTTAAAAACACGTGTTGGGTCCAAAATTATACTGACGCCTAAGTAACCTCTATTGAACATGAATTGTAAAATTATAGACAGGTTAGCTCTCTATTTATGTCAACACAAAATCATCTTAATACTTACATAATTTGTGCGGTATTTTTAAGGAGCTATTATGACAATAACATATATATTCCAGTTATTTTCAGAGAGAGATAAATTAGCCTGTAGAAAATTGCAGTTCAATTATGATTTTCCGCCTATTTTAGGCTTAACAGAGTCCTTTAGTGTAATTTTATAGCTGATCCTCACTAGTAAAACGCCTAAATTTACAATAATACTGCTGTGTCCAAATTTTCCTCGAATGTCAAGATAGGACACACCGATACAGAAGTTGTTTATCGTTGGTGTATAGAAGTACTAGATGGCTCTAGGCGCGGCTGAAAGACAATCTCTGGATGGAAGTACAAGCCTCGAAGATTAGAAAACTAGCGATGTCAGCCGTAAACTTAAATAAGCATCAGATCATTGAATAAACGCTTATTAAAAGCAATTTGAAGCACGTACTCCATGCTTCATCAGGCAAACCTGAGCATTTTATGCGGTCGTGTTTGCTTGGAAATTCGATTTCACTCATACATTTGTAAGATTTGAAGTTTCTTTATAAATATGAACATAAGACCCGAGACTTTAGTCAAGAGATTCAATATTCTAGCACAATGTTATCTCAATCTAGTGCAGGTCCCAGATCTTCTCCGTGAAAATTGCTTATACGCCTCTTGATAATTGTCACTGCTGCTTCATGTGTCCCGAGTAAGCGGCTGACCGTGATTGCTGGTGCTTGAGACACTAGAGGATAATTTCCTTGAAGGACTACGCCCCACAGTTACAAAACTATTTAGAAGAGCAATTTGTTTTGGAATTTAAGGCGTTAAGGTTGCGAAGATTCTTTGTCGTCAAACAAGGCACCATTTCTACGGAACAGTGTGATCAGTGGATTCACGCTAACTTAGAATGTTTGTGTCAAGGGAAGTCATTTGACAAATTAGACCGGTCTATACAAATTTCGCAGATGGATGGTTTCCCGATGAACTTTTAAATTTGATTAATTTTATGCAATGATCTACATGTCTTAGCAGATGATAAAAAGGATTTCGTACTATTAATCAAGTGGATTCTGTCGTTTTTTTGCTGAAAATAAATTGAATAATTTTACTAAACTCCCGCAATCAAACATTGCTCATTTTATAATGCCATAATGTGGATACAATCCCTATCTGCCAAATTTTACTCACTTATATTCCAAAAGGTATTTTGCACTCATTTTAATCCTATACGTTTTATCAAGCAAATGATTTTGCAAAGTTTACTATAAGAGTTGAAATATGGCACGTCATTTCTTTCCCAAGGCAATATAACCAAGTGGTTAGAGTGCAAAATAATCAAAGTAATCCATTAGACATTTTAAGTTTAGGTTCTTCAAAACTTATTTTAACAAGCCTCTGCAATTAATCAGACAAAAGCAAGAAAAACAGCAAGTTTTCGAGCAAACATAAATTAGGAGTGAATACATCTAGAAGTTATGATCACCCCTTAAAACCGGATCACTTCTGCTCTTTGAATTATTTTTGCCAAAATCAGGTTGTTAAGAGCAAATAGTTCATTTTGGGGCTGTGTTAGATTTGCTAAGATCAGGTTACGAAACATGAGACAAAACCAGTTCATTTTGATGAGTTTTGGGGCTTCCACACAAGCAATCCACAGACGACGTTTAAAAATTACTTAGGGGTAACAATTTTGTTTGATGAGTGACCATTCTACCACAGTATCGCGTATTTTTGGTTCATTTTTCTCCCAGATTTTTCCAAAAAAATCTTTTGAGCTCCTTGAAATTAACTGGTAATATTTTTCTCATTTTAATTTACTTTGAAAATGATTAACTGTTATAGAGTAAATAGACACAGTAAGAACCTGTGGCGTTGGTAAAAAGTAATTAATAAATAAACAAAAGCACAATAGTTTTAGTCTGATTATTTGGAAAAAGTACATTCATTTTGTCTCGGTGAGCTAGAACATCGGACCTTCTATTTTTTTAAAATATAGACCGTTGCGAAATCCAATCTTCGAGAAGCATTAATTTTTCTTCTATTATATTTTGAACACAAACGAAAATAAGATTATGCATTTGACCTCTCTAATTCGTTTAATTTTTAGTAAAGGAATGATGGTTACGCAAGCGCATTCTTACGATCACGTTAGTCTAATGTATTGACTTCCCATTATACTTTCAAGAATCAACCGAAATTTTAGATGACTGCAAAAGTAAAAATTCCTTAAATCCTTTCTGACACAAGAATGCTAGATTAAAATACGATTATATTTTATCTCTTTCAGCGAGTGTCGATAAACCTTCAGGTGTCCTCCCAGTGCACCAGCGCACTTTTGCCCGAGAATCGCAATAAAAATCGACTAGATTCAGTCCTTCCATATGAGTACAATCGGGTTGTTCTCTCCACAGTGCGTGGAGTGGAAGGCGCTGACTACATTAACGCCAGCTTTGTTGATGGTTATTGGCACGAGCGAGCCTACATTGCAACACAGGCCCCATTGGCTAGCACGACCAAGGACTTCTGGCGCATGGTGTGGGAGCACAACTCGCCTATCATCGTGATGTTAAGCCAGACGGTTGAGAATGGAAAGGAGCAGTGCTTTCAATATTGGCCTTCTGAGCGCTCACAACGCTATGAACAGTTTCTTGTGGAACCTATGGTAGAGTATAACATGCCTAGTTTCGTTCTCCGTGAATTTTGCGTTACTAACATACAAGAAGGCCAATCACGGACGCTGCGTCAGTTCCAATTCTCTGATTGGCCAGACAATGGAGTTGCTATTTCAAGAGCTTCTGAAACTCTCATTGAACTAATCTCGCAGGTTCACAAAACACAAGTGCAATTTGGCCAAGATGGTCCCATCATCGTACATTGCAGGTAAGCGAGTTTCGGGGTAATTAACGGAGATATACCTAATGGAGACCTGATTGAGTTGACTCCGTGTTCTAGCGCCGGTGCTGGTCGTACAGGTATATTTGTTGCACTAAGCATTCTCCTGGAAAGAATGCGATGTGAGGGTATGGTAGACCTTTTACTGACGACACGACTTCTGCGATCACAGCGGAGTCATATGATTGAGGATGAAAGTCAATATGCCTTCTGTTACACCGCACTTCTGGAGTTTCTTGCCGCGTTTTAGTATTGACGAGTTCAAACGGTCGCACTCTCCCATTCCAGCTAATTCTAGCTATTCATTATGCACACCTATGTCGTGTAGGCATTTGATTGCATGTTTTCCTGAAGATTGCAAACCCATGTTATGGTGTGTAAATGATTCGACAAATAAATATGATATTTTGTTTTTTTTCCTACCAAATGGAAAACGCTCCTAGTGCTGTCAAGAAAACATTGGCAACAATAGAACATGTTCAGCTTCTTGGAAAAAGTGATTAAACTCCTCCTAAGGCAACTGTTAATTGGAATGTTTCTTTTTTCAAGATAACAACAACTCCATTAGTTTTACCAATCTTATGCTAAAACAAGGCGAGGTTTTTGTCAATGGAAAAACTACGTGTCAGGTAAGATTCCACATAACGGTCAAAAGCTTCTTGATCGTTGGAGCTAGGCAAGAGGCGCCAACGAAATTGGGAACGTAGTAACGATTACTAAAGCCGTACAATTAATGCTGAACCACTGTTGGGATACCCTTGGTGTGTCAGATATCAGAAGCACAAGCGCCCCCGTAGAAAACCTAACCAGCGCATGCTCTTTATTCTAAAACCACCGAAGGAACGATTCGCTTTGTCTCTATTTCATGAGTATATATTCGGGTACACGACTTCCCTCGCCATAACCGCAATAAAGCAGCAAGGATGAATCAGGAATACCTGCAATGGCATCCACCGATTTGAGCAAGTAGCAACGTTCGTCGAGTAACTTCAACAACTAATGAGAGGTCATTACAGATATGCCATTTTGCCAAAAACAAGACCAAAGAATCAAAAATTTTAAATTCTAATGGTCTCTCTCAACTTCTAACTCAAATATTCGTTAGAACACAGTCGAGCACTTTAATAACAGTTCATAAAAGAGTGCATATACATGAGGTCACGGAGGAAGAGACGACTGCTAATGTGAGGGTCTGCGCACCCTCTTCTGCAAGCACTCCTTCACCTTCTTTTGCATCAATCGCATGCAAGCAACTGCATCTTCCTTGCTGTCGTGGCCAGCCTCTGCAAAAAGAAATCAGGAAAAATCGACCTTTTGAAGGGAGTACACGCCATACAAGGATTCAATGAATCAGGCAATCAAATATAATCGTGTAATTTTCTTTATAGCTCACCAAAGTGAATTGTGATTGCAATTGCTTATAAGTCACGGAGGTGCGTCAGATTACCGAAATGTTGCTCTACTTAACTATTTTGAGCCTTCCGTCATATCATCAAATGCCAGTTAAATGAACTTGCTGAATGTGACCCGAGCTTGTTGACTTTACAAAATTTGTTCAAATCGATTCCATAATTACAAAAACTAGCTTCGTGTCAAATTTCTTGTAAAGAATTTAAACAGGTTGCTGCATGAGGTATCGAACGTACTGCCCAGAAATGGTTTGGATTAGATGATTCGATTCTGTCCATGAATAGTTCGTGGATTCATTCCGTTCATGAAGATCTCCTGTTCTTTAATAATTAGGGGGAACTAAGCTCCGCTATTGAAATTCTTGTGGCTCCTTACAAAAAGATTATAGATGCTAATGGTAGTTATCTCAAAGAATGAGATATCCTGTGAATTTTCTGCAGTCATTCACTTTTATCAGAAAAATCTCAAGAGTCTATCTGACTGCCCCATAACACGTTATTCCACCAATTAAAACCACCTTCAGGAAATTCAAAGGACAGCAGAAAGGCTACTCGTAGTTTCAGACTAAGCGATAATTTTTAAGAAAGACGATAACACACTTTTCAGGTCTGTCCATGATTCTTAAACAAGAGCAGGCATTGATCACTCTTAAAAATGGATAATGAAAGGAATTAAATGCCAAATAAGCTCCATTTTCCACTAGCCAGTAAATACCACCACCAAAGAGAAAGAGACACTAAAATGTTATCCGTATGAGGAAGAGAAGAAAGATCAACTAACCATCATTTTGGATGAGCTGCTCCAAATATTCGCTGACAATCGTTCGGAGAGCCCGTTTGTAGGGTAACCCTCTCCTGTGGGGAAAAGCGATTGAGGTGTCGACGACTTTGCTGTGAATGAACTGGCAAGCAAAGTTTTATAAGGTATGCTGGAATCCTTATAATTACAAGTTAAGATAAATTTACAAGCAAAGGAACCAGATGAAAATTCCCAAACTTTCAATCTGCTAGAACTATGTAAAAAGAGAGTTTGGTTAGCCAGGCTCGAGTAGTGCAACCACGATAAGATAGGCGCAGCGAAGATTCATGAATGATATTGAACCAGCCTTGATGATAGCCTTGTCCATGAGTGGAAAGTATGTGAAAAGTGATATTTTGACCCCACGTTTTTCAACTTCCCTAACCAGTATAAAATCCTCCGCTTACAATGTATTGCTGTGATTCAGCAATGAAGTAAAAACCAAACATGTTTCACGCACTGAATTCAACCTATGCATAGGAAGAGATAATAATAATGCGTATTCGTAAGTATGCTAGCACTCTGGGCGCATAAACTCCCAAACAGCCACTCAATCCTAATAATAAATTTGAACAAAGGTTTAACCCTAATAATAGTGGAAAAACCAGGTTTCTACTAAGTAGGATTTGGCAAAAAAGAATTCCCGGGCTTTACAAAACATTCTACAGGTAGCTGGTTCAGCGCATAGAATTCAAACCATAATGCAAATTAGGTGCCCACCTTAAGGGCAGTGAGATCACTTTCCAAACTATGACCGATGAGGATAGTATCCTCGTCCCAAAGTTGCAAAAGCTCCATCTGCACATCGGTGATTTGCAACTGCGAGGTCTCTAACTGTTCGATTGAGAGGCCCGAGAAGCGCGTATTTGCGTCGATGATGGGATTTAGAGGTCGAATGACCCTGTCCACAACCACATTCAGATTTGTATCAATCACTGTGACGCGGGCCAATTCACAGCTAAAAGGACCGCACAATGAATAGGCTGGAGCCAACCACCAGTGTCATATGTAATTGAATAAGCGGGTGGAAGGTCAGGTTATTTTGGACGGTGCTGTCACTGTACTTTGATTACGTATTGTTATGAAACTATCTTCAATTGCAATTTAACTACAATGTCCCCCAGTCTTTGGCCGTTCAAGCCACCATATCAGTGGGACGGTACTCCATTTATGCCATTTTAATTAACGGCTAATCAACCCCGCCGTAAACTAAGTGAGGCTTCATATAAGCTCAAGTTCATAAGTTCTAGAGGGAAAACTCGGGTGTCAAAGCTTAATGAGTACGTTTAAATGAAACCTTACTTGCAGACGAAGATCTTTTGAACAAAATGACATCACGATTCACAAAAGCATACAGCTTAAATAATTTTGAGTTTTCCTGAATGCAACAGATGTCGATACAGTCATTAATTACCCGGAATTCATGAAATGCCACAAACCGATCTTTGTACTCGTCAAAAATGGATGTTTAATGTGAAATAATAATTTTAATAGAAGTGCACCTTTAAACCGAAGGTAAAGTCCTGGAAAAACTATTGGGGAGGGGGGGGGGAATTTAGCACGCAAACACTGGCATATTTCTATTCCGGACTGACTTGATGAAGTGATGATTACATGAATAGCCTTAAATTTGATAGTAATATTGGGCAACTAATTCAACCGACTTTATTAATTTCGAAAAATTGGGTAACAGTTTTAGAACACCTGTGGCTCTGTGCTATAAAATAAGTTGTTAAGTTAAGCAAAATGCCCAAACCATTATCTTGACATGTGGTGAGACGGCAATAGCACTACCAACCCCCAGTGGTATAGACCATTTCGCAGTCGAGGGAGTAGACATTGACCCGCGGTTCGTCAGTCGAATTGTCCAAAGCCGGGGGAAGAGTTGTTAGGTACCCCTCCAGGTCACACCACCTATTTGTGTCGGTCACGTGACCCTTAGGAGCAACCTGGCAACCCTCTTGCCCACTTTCAGCTTGGCAGCAGGTGTAGTGCAAATCGAAGCCTGAACCGGGCACTGAAAAGACAAATAGCTTTATTAGAACGATATTTTTCAATTGCACACAACCACACGAGATGCTGAATTACTGTGGCCTTTACCGACGTCTTGGTGTCATGGCTTCCCATCCACACCTCTAACCCCTCAGTCTCCCTGTGTTCTACGTCTCCACCATCATTCGACAAATTTCAGGCAACGATGGAAGGGAATAAAATAGCCACGTTATTCTACAAAAAGGTGTTTTTTATGCCATTCCTTTTTGCTTCCAAACCGAAAAAAGCATAAGGCTGAGTTACCATTACAACAATAATAGCTCTTATTTAACAAGCACTACTAAAATCGTTAAAATATGATCAATAATGGGTGAAAAATAACTCACTCCTTCGCCGTACTGGTTTGCCCCAATGATAGACACACTCGGTTTTCACAGTTGGCATTCCAAATTTATCAACTTCATAGGCTTTGCCACATCGGCAACAAAAGCGCTTATTAGCTAAAAAAGTGTAAAAATTAGTTGAAGCGATGGCCTGAAAGTCATTAACAAAGCAAAATTAGGAAGATGACATAAAAAATAATAAAAGACAAATGAATTGCTTAGCTGGCGCACTCGTATATAATTCCACAGCGTTTTTCTTCTCGTCAGGAACAGCAATAACCGCTTTTCCGCGAGGAGCCCCTTCCGACTTATCAGGTCGTGGAAACTTGTTATGAATGAGCTCCTCCTCAGTCAGGAGAAATGGCTTTAACTCCTTGTAAAATACTGGACCTGTCGATTAAAGATGTTCGTGACTAATAAGGCATTTCACTACATAAAATGGGTGTTGCAATGAGGCGGCATGAAAATCACCACAACAATACTTTTAATTGGGTCCAAAAGCACCTATATTTATTGAATACAAACCATGAAGGATGCACTAATCATTTCTTGCCATCCAACTTTCATGACCAACAAACTTGGAACCATTCAAATAAAAACCTTTGAATTAACGATTCTAACATAAAATCAAGTGAAAACTCTAAGTTCGCGCACATCCTAGTTTTATCTTACCTTTGACCATTTCATCGAGGTCCTTACTCGACGAATCAGCCTTCTTAGCTATCATTGGCTTTGCACTATTTTTTGTAGGCAATGGCGCCAGTTTGGTTTCGTAAGCTGGCTGGGAATTGAAAATTTTAAGACAATTAATGACCGAATGAAGATACACATGGCGATTCTGCGCCTTATCATGGCACGCTTGCTCTTCGCGTAGGGCCTTCGAAACAGAAACGTGATGGGAGGATTAGGTATTCTTTGAAAGGAAAATCCAAAACGTTACTGTTACCATGGCATATGCTTCTGGTGCAGAAGCACATATTCTTATGCAGGCTTCAATGAACTGATCGAGATAACGCTTACGAATGGGCATCGGAATTTTGTTGCTTGGTCGCAGTGGCTGTTTAGGTCGAGATTGGGGTAGGTTTCTAGACGGTTCTAGGATGGACTTTACATGCAAAGACTAAATTGAGTGGTCACAATAAATATAAATAAAACACCCACTGGTGAAGACCTTGGTAAAGATGATCGATGAACTGATGATGGTAGCGGTTCTTCGGGTTTGTCATACAAATCGGAGTAAAGAGAGAGAATTTCTTGCGTTTTTCAGTAGCAGCAGCAGTCAGAACTTCAACTGTCGGAGACTTTTCGGCTTTATATGAATGCATGGATGGGCATTCAGGATCAAGATGCTCGTTTTTCAACGCAAATTTGGAAGGGGAATACCCAAAAATTTTACTGGAAACGCTTTCATAAGTTCTAGTCGGTACAACAGGAGAGTAGGTTGGGGCCTCCGGAGTAACTAAAGTTGAAGGGGCCGGTGCGTAGGCTACAGAAAAATTGGTCGGAGCATATCGATCGAGTTCATTAATGGGAGTTGGGTTATAAACTAATCCCGAGTCCCTTTCCCTGGATTCGTCCAAAAGCCAGATTGGTGTAGGAGTATACGATGGAAACGTAGGATTGTTCTCCATTTCTAAAGCGCAAAACTTAAGGATAAATGGTCGGATTTCAATAAAATAGACTAAGACACGAGAAGTCACCATTACCCAGATTTTGGTGCCAAAAGTACCGCGATAACGATAAATTGCCACGTCAGTGGTATCATAAAACTCATACAAATCGGAACCATTAGACTAATGGATTAGGAAATACCATAAGGCCATGAAATACCAGAAAAATCTTTGGGAACAACAGTCCTATGCCATCAAAGTATACATATAAACTGTCCAATGGTCGTCTCATCAACTACACACTAGGATTCTATGCAAACAAAATTAATTTCAATTGTTACAATTTATGAATTAAGCTAATCCCATTAGTTACAGACAGGAACGCTGCAGTGGCAACTAAAGTGGACCTTGCGAAGACACGTCGAAAATACCCCTAAGCTACTAGATAGTTAAAACAATCGACTAAGACTTTATCTCCAATCTCTACTCTTTGCCTAATTTTTTTTAATTTTAAGATCAAAATAAATAGTTTTATTTTGACAAGCGATAAGCTCCTGCTATTTTATCACATGTATATGGCGCGCAGGTGAGAATGTAGCACCCTGAGCCCGCCTTGAAGTCCCGACATGCCAGGGATTTAACGAACAAACATTTGTAATTAGATACGAATGGAAATGTACAGACTGGGAAATGCTGTTAGCAGGTGTAATATAAAGCTTATATAAATTATTCTAAAAAAATTTTGATGGCAATTTAATTAATTCTCTTCGGCCACTCTTCTGTATAGGTCCTAATATCGCAGTATATCCTCTGAAATCCTCCAAGAATAAGAGTTACACACTGTTTTTTGGCATAAATCAAGCGTTGGTAATGCGGTTTGTTGACCTTGACGAATTCGAAGTTGCGCTCCCATTATGAACGGTATCATTAGGACTCACCGTCTTTTAATTTCCAACACTATTCGGCACCCCAACATCGGGTGCATTTCCTATGTAATCACAATTTATGGGAGTAACTGTCTAGCGCAGTCATTTTTTACAAAACACTGATTAGCTTCAGAGAGTTCATATTTCATCCATTCTTCGTTCACCATATGCTCATTTGAATGATGCTTATCCATCAACTCTGTGGCGGTGTACTCCCCCTAGTCCTACCTAAGGTTGAAAGAAGTCCGAAGGGCTAAGGGGCTAATGGCATGGCCTACAAGCTATGCCGCCAAGTGGACGGATAATCGCTGAGCCTTAACCACCCGCTTAACCAAAACGTTGAGTTACATAAACAATAAGCGTTACAACTCAGTAGGGATTTAGCTTCGCCAGACTGTGCGTGCGAACCGCACAGTCCACAAACCAAGATCTTTATGTAATCATTTGTTCGTGATTTTTATCGCATCATCGGTCTTTTGGGATGTGTCTTTCCATTATTTTCCTATGTTTAAAAAGAAAATCAAATAGAGTAGGTTTTGTAAGGGGTATTATTGTATAGATTTTCTATTTAAGGCGCATCTTTTTTTTATATCAAGGCATTTTTAGACCCCCATCTCCTTAAAGTAGAGTTTATACACTCAGATGTATGAATATCAGTTTGATATTTATTCACGCTTTCCATTTACCATAAGTGTAAGACGATGGTATTTTATCCCTCTGCACTGGCGAGGAGCCTCTTTTGATTTAGCCTTTGTACCACGCCGAGTGTGCTGGCCTTCGGGCCATGCCAGTAGCTCTAATACCTTCTCTGTGCTGAATATATATGTTCTGCCCGAGTATTATGTCTTCGTTCGTCTTCAGGGAAGTCTCGGGACGCTACACAAGAGTAACTTTTAGAAATTGATAAACTTATGAAGAGCGTCCCTACCTACAACATATTTCCTGATCTAGTAGTGTTTTGGTAAGGTATAAACTTTTGGGCTGAATTTGACTACACGAGCTCTTCAGTCTCCGCAATCTCCACTTTCGCCTTGCGACATAGGTTTCTGACCATGCTTTTAGCCTCCCAGTGGTTCTTTGCATTTTTTAATTTAGGTAGGACTTATTTTTACTTTGGGAAGGACAGAGGGCGCTGTATTAGTGCCAATAATAGCCGAACCTGAATTAATTAATTCCCAAATCTGAACGTCATAGCAGAATAACATTTTCAAATTTGATTAGCTAAAATCACCAAAAGATGGCCTCTGCTTCTGGCACATGCACAATTTCAAGTTCTATGCAATGACTACTGATAGAGAGCAAGGAAATTTTAACAGATCTCAGTCGACTCCAAAGAAAGACTTACTACAGGTCCCCAAATAAAGCAGATTAAATTATACCAAAAATAATTACGGAAAGTGACTATTATATAGGCTGTTAGATGGAAAACACGCTAATTGTGTGCTTCCTCTTTCCAAATAGGTTTACTTTTGATACACTTTGCCCTGAAGTTGCATCATTCCTAAATTCCATTTAGATCTACACCATGCATTACTAGTAATAAGTAGCATTCTCCCTTTAATGTGAAGTCATTATCTTCGATTCTGGCTTGCGGTTAATTGTGGTTTATGAGGAGGTCGATGGTTAAAATCAGAAGGAGAAAGTAGCGCGGGACGTGACGATCATAATGAATAGGAAATATGTAGCAATGTGATATTTGCTTTCAGTTACGGTTAAATACGCGGGTCTTTATTCCTCACAATCTGTACTTTCATCTTGCAACACTGTTTCCCAGCACTTTTATAAACTACCAGTCTCTCTGCACCCCATAATTAAACTATACAAAGATATTAAATCACCCTTTTGCAGTTTCAATGATAGTCGTCCCGTGTTTCCACTAAAATAAGTTCAAGTTGAATGGCAAAATGTAGTACGCTTTCCTCTATCAGTGAAATGTGCGCTACCGTGTCGGTTAGCTTATTGAAATTATGAGAAATTGTGCGTTTTTTCTTAAATAAAGAAAAATCTTTGAGTTAAATATTTCCACCAAAGTTAATGATTTACACCTTCATGGAATACGATCTGCACACTCAAAAACGAATATGATTGAAGATAGTTGCTTACATTAGTGTGCATTCTATAAATTGTTGAGCGAGTTACACCTTTAAACGAAATGTGTGCTTCTGTGAAAGGTTTCCATATAGGTAGAAACAATTTAATTCCGACTTCCAGACCGCCTTCCACAGAGAGTTTACCAAGTTACAAGAGAATACTCTTTTGAAAGATTGACTGGACTAAGATACCTCCTTTTATCCATGAAATCAAAGGCGCAGTTTTGCCCACATTGGTACGGATCAATTCTTAGTACATTTTAAATGCAGATAAACACAATCGTTTTGCATATAACTTGAAAGTATTAAAACCCGAATCTGCTAAAAGTACAATGGTGTTTTTACGTTCCAAATCAGCGTATCTCTAAGGGCACCGCGTGTTCACGAAGTCGGTCGGCTTTATAATCAGTGTGGTAAGAAGCACTCCCATTTGAGGATGAAATCACTGACGATATTTTGCCAGACATTTGTTTAGCAATCGAATTTCGGTCCTTACGGAATGGCTCACGGATCAACTATGCCAAGCTGTTTGACCGTATTGTAAACTTTCCACGCTTTGCTTAAATTTCCTACTTACATTGAAAGACCGTAAAAAGGGTTAGGAAGTATATGCCTAAGGCCCTTAAATCATTCAACATATAAATAAGTCGCTACTCTATTTAGTTACTGATTCAATTGTATGTACGCATAATCTAAGACTTATGGTTACATTTTGCATTTATTAGGTGAATTAAACCAGAAAATTCTATATTTGCTAGTATATTGAGGTTCTGTCGATAAATTATTCACGATTTTAAAAAATTACATTTGAATTAATTTATACCAAAATTATTGGACGAAAAGTTTATTTATCTTAGGCATTAACCACTGTTGTTAAACACGCTTCGAAAATCAGTGCCTTTGGGGTTTTAGTTCATTCAACTTCAAGGTATCTGAGCATTGAATTTAAACGCTAATAATTGAAACTAAACCTCTGGAAAAGTGTATTTGGAAGCAATAACTTACTCATGGATATGGACGGAAGACCCTTTTGGGTATTTGGGATTTTACGCACCTTTATGGCATTTGCGCATAGCATCAATCGCCTTGTGCCAAATATGACAACTGTAATACGATAGTGGTTTATCCCTCGGTTCTGGTGAGGCGCCACTTTTGTACTTTGAATTAGCCCCCTTGTACCTCGCTGGGTGGGCTGGCCTTTCAGGCCATGCCAATAGCCCAGACACCTTCTCTGCGTTGAATATATGTATATTCTGCCCGAGTATTGTGTCTTCTCTCGTCTTCAGGGGGTCCCGGACGCTACATTGGTGGCAGCGGAAAGCGAACCCGGTCTTAAAGGACATGTATCCTGATTTTCCACTTCTGCGTGATAAGCCTTAGTGGGGCGGAAGAAGTACATATGCTACGGATGGGAGAATGGTGATAACCCCTAACAGAAGGGTTGATGTTGACGTCTACCTTCGGCATCTCTCCCAGTCCCGTGTTCTGCAGAAAAGCTATTAACAACTGAAGCGACACTAGCCGTGAACCATCTGGAAGTTTCGTTACGGAGTTTCTCTACCGTCCCCCATGGACCTGTTTTAAATCTTGTACTGCCTTACTCAAATCTGCTTTTAGGCCAGTGTTCCTGCATCTATCTATGGACACGCATGATGGCCGACGCAGTTCCCCGTCCTGAATCAAATCCCTGAACCGGATGGAACCCCAGATCCAGTCAAGCCGCCAAGAGGGATTGGTGACGTTGAGGTCAAGTATCCCCTCAGTTGCGCACTAATTTGGTGACTGGAACGGTCGGCTCGTGGGTGTTTCTTTGCAGCACCGACTGCGTTGTAATGGCTGACGCGGGAGGTTGACCTGCGGGAGCGCCGGGGACGACGCTCAAAAGAGGAGGGAGGCTATGTAATACGATAGTGGTTTATCCCTCGGTTCTGGTGAGGCGCCACTTTTGAACTTTGAATTAGCCCCCTTGTACCTCGCTGGGTGGGCTGGCCTTTTGCGCCGTGCC